GCAGGCGAAGCTGGCAGCATGGCAGGGGTGGTGCGAGTAGAGAAAGCTTGCTAGGATCCCAGAGCTCTGCTGGCAGAGCAGACTGCACCTGTGGACCGCTCGTGGAGGGAGGGGCGTGCGCAGGGCGAATGGAGCTCCCGCGGCCGGGGGGCGCGCGGCAGCGCGGGGATTGGAGGGCGCTCGCGGGCCCCGCGCGCTTCTTAGGCGGAGCGGTGGTGCAGAGCTTCTGCGCGAGACCCCAGCCCTCCGCTTGGTCCTTGGCGGAGCACTCAGCTGCTCCACCGCGTTCCACCGCCTGGGGTGAGCACCCCAAAGCATGAACGTGCCCTCAACACTGCCCCCCGGGGGCGAGGACACCACCTGGACCCCCGGGACCAACGCCAGCAGCGTTCCGGACAACGAGGAGGATGCAATGCGGTCCGACGGCACGGGGACAGCGGGTATGGTCACCATCCAGTGTATATATGCACTCGTGTGCCTGGTGGGCCTAGTGGGGAACGCCCTGGTCATCTTCGTGATCCTACGCTATGCCAAGATGAAGACAGCCACCAATATCTATTTGCTCAACCTGGCGGTCGCCGATGAACTCTTCATGCTGAGCGTGCCATTCGTGGCCTCAGCGGCTGCCCTGCGCCACTGGCCCTTCGGGTCAGTGCTGTGCCGCGCAGTGCTTAGCGTGGACGGCCTTAACATGTTCACCAGTGTCTTCTGCCTCACCGTGCTCAGCGTGGACCGCTATGTGGCTGTAGTGCACCCTTTGCGCGCCGCCACCTACCGGCGGCCCAGCGTGGCCAAGCTAATTAACCTGGGAGTGTGGCTAGCATCCTTGCTGGTCACACTGCCCATCGCAGTCTTCGCTGACACCAGGCCAGCTCGCGGAGGCGAGGCCGTGGCTTGCAACCTGCACTGGCCTCACCCAGCCTGGTCTGCGGTCTTCGTGATCTATACTTTTTTGTTGGGTTTCCTACTCCCAGTTCTGGCCATCGGTCTGTGCTACCTGCTTATTGTGGGCAAGATGCGTGCTGTAGCCCTACGGGCTGGCTGGCAACAACGGAGACGCTCAGAAAAAAAGATCACGAGGCTGGTGCTGATGGTGGTGACTGTTTTTGTGCTGTGCTGGATGCCCTTCTATGTGGTGCAGCTTCTGAATCTGTTTGTCACCAGCCTCGATGCCACGGTCAACCATGTCTCCCTCATCCTCAGCTATGCCAACAGCTGTGCCAACCCCATTCTTTATGGCTTCCTCTCTGACAACTTCCGGCGCTCTTTCCAGCGGGTTCTGTGCCTGCGCTGCTGTCTCCTGGAGACAACTGGAGGTGCCGAAGAAGAGCCTCTGGACTATTATGCCACTGCTCTCAAAAGCAGAGGGGGCCCAGGCTGCATATGCCCTCCATTGCCCTGCCAGCAGGAGCCCATGCAAGCAGAACCTGGCTGCAAGCAAGTCCCTTTCACCAAGACTACTACTTTCTGAAAACCATTTCACACTCCCTCAGCTCACCTGCAAGGAGGTCGCACCACCCTCTCGGCCCAGCAACTTCTAGAACAACTCCTGTTTCACTAAGTCAGCCCCTTTCTGTGCTGTCCCCAGGAGTCTCGGGATTCCTGGAGCCCCTCTCCTAGGACTGGCTTCAAGACAACTCCATGGGGGTAGGACTCCTCTGGGAATCGGGTTAGAGTAACAGCCATTCCTGAACCTCTGGCAGTTTTTCATTGGGTGGGAAACAGGAGGAGGTCAGAAAGGAGTGTGTACCCTTGTGTGACTGTGACAGTGACCACTTAGAAGAGCCCTGGGAGGGTGAAGTAGGCAGAGCCCCTTCCCCCTGCAGGCTCTTTACCTTATGGTAGTACATGGTGAGACAGGAGAATGTAAGATATCTCCAAGTGCTTTCCCTCTCTGTCTGTGTGAGACCCTCCTTGCTAAGTGAGATGTCTATGTAACAGCTGAGTGCACTTGCTCTGTCATCCTACACGTGTCTCCCAGTTGTCGGGAGACCAGTAGCAAATTTCCTGTGAATGCAAAAGATTTATAGAAATATGATGTGGGGATTGCTGCAAAGCATAAAACTGATCAGGAATTAAAAGGTAGAAAGGATAAAAATATCATCTGCTGCAATTTTTTCCACCTCTTTCCCTGGCTAAAGGAATAGGAAGCCTCATTAAAGCCCATGTTATGCTATGCGGGGAGGGTGTCAGGAAAAGACCAGAGAACGAGGGTGGAGGGGAAACAGACTGTGTTTTGACACCAGATGCTAACCACAATGAAAGGCCATCCCTGTGTGACTGGTTAGTTAGCCACAGCTCCAGTGATCTTTCCCCTGAGAAAGTCTGACAGCCTGAGAGCTTTACTTCTGCTAAACTAGAGTTGGGGGAAGCCAAACAGATGCTGATCGCAGAAGCCAGGAGTGGCTGATTGCAGCCCAGATGTGTACATTAGAAGACCAAGTGCTGGTGGTGCTAGAACGATGAGTCAAGAGGGGAGGAGAAAGGCTGAGACAGTCAGCTGGGCAGTTCCCACGGCTGCCTGGCAGGGGAGGGTGAGCTTTCAAAGAAGCACCTGGATCCCATCATCCTGGAGAACATACCTCTGTGTGTGCTAGGGCAGTCAGCCTAAGTTCGAACTGCTGGGAGGCTAATGGGAATCCAGACTGGCCTAAGGAAATGCCCTGCCACCACATGGGTTACAAGGGCATCTCTGAGAGCCTGGGAGACGCAGGAGGTGACCTCTTCTGGGCTACTTGCCCAGAGTCCTGACTTGTGTGACAGTAGCAGTGCCTGGTATGTGGGAAATGGACAAGAGAGCTGAATTCTGGTTCCAGGCAAAAATGTCTTCTAGCCCAAGCAGGACCTTCAGGCCAGGTCTTCAGAATTCTTGTCTGGAAAAATCAACAGGTCCTTGTAGTGTGGCAACTCTTTTGTTATTCCTGTGTTTTTGTTGTTTTGTTGTTGTTGCTGTCGTTTGAGATGAGATCTCATGTAACACCAGATAGCTATGAATTCACTTTGTAGTAACTAAGGATGACCTTGAACTTCTGATCCTCCTACCTCTCCCTCCTGAGTGTTGAGATTACAGTGTGCAACACCATGCCCATTTTATATACAGTGTTAGGAATAGAACTCATGCTGGCTAGGCAGGCACTCCACCGACTGAGCTACATCTCCAGCCCCACATGGTGGTGACTTACAGGACTAAAGGCTGAAGTTTTTTTTTTTCTTTTCTTTTCTTTTTTTTTTTTTTTTTTTTTTTGGACTAGAAATTTCAACTTCTTCACTAACAATAGAAAAGATAAAGGCCTATGTTAAGTGTCTAGATGTATAACTGTAGGATTCTTACCTTCTCCAAATGCAGCTAGCTAGATGGCCTATGAATAACAATTCATGTTGATGGTAGGTGCATCAGAGAGTTATATAGGAGGGTGTGGAAATAATAAGGGCCTGCTGATCAGGTGAGCCTCACTTACCTCTGAGAGAACTACATTGCCAGACCTCTTCCGTGTCCCCGGCCATGGCTGTGCATTGGAAATCCCTAAATAGAGCACTGACCCCTTGGTTCCACACATGTTTACACACAAGCACATATCATTCCTAACTGGTCATCACTTCCCAGAGTCACTCTGGGCATCCAGAACAAGTCAGGCAGTCCCACATCTGTGGGTCTTACCTAAATAACAGCAACTTCTTGCAAGTCGTTAGAATTAAATTGTTACTTTCTCTGTCCCTGATGCCTGGCAGAGTGGACACCTGATAAACATGCTTGAACTTCACCGCTAGGATCACCTCGTGGGAACTTTTGGCCTTAGCAATGGTTGCAGTGGACAAAGGTGGTAGGCCTTTGCCTCATTTGAGGAAGTCTGGAGTTCCTCTTTTCAGCCTTCTACTGACCCACACAGGCCCTAAGACATGCTTGTTTGCCAGCAAAAAGACTAATTTCATTTTTTTAATGCAAGCTTTTAGCGGGGATTAATGGCGAATGAGGAACCAATACCTTCAAGCTGGAGAGTCACCAATGACAACAGAAAGCATCAGCTTTAGCTAGCTCATGATCAGGACTTTCAGCTCTCCGGCCTCGAATTCCCACTCTTAATAGATGTACAAAAAGAGAGTTTGCGTTCCAAGCTTTCTGTTTTGTCTGTGCTATCACAGAATCTGGACATGGATCCCAGCAAGTCAGGACCTTGGAACCCTTGCCTGATAGATTGTAAGTGGTGAATCACCCCCATTTCTCACCCTCTTAGCCTGAGAACATGACAGCCCGCTCTTAAAATTCTGTGAGCACAGATGTCAGGATTCTGAGGCTGTGTTTGCTGAAGCAACTCCACTGTGTTACTCAGTACCACGTCCCAAAACTCAGCTCTGTGGGTCCCTGTGCAGGGAGATGTATTCAGTGACAGTGTGCTGAGGGTGTCTCTCAGTGATACAACCAGCTTCCAGACAACATGGTGAGTCTGCATAGTGTGGAGCTTGGAAATAATTGGCAAAGATGGGCATTAATCAGATAGCCGTATAAATGGAAGTGTAATTAAATTCTAAGATAAAATAAGAATCATGTCATGACTGGAGATGCAGCTCAATGGTTAAAGTGTTTGCTTAGCATGTGCAAGATCCTGGCTTCAATTCCCAGCAACACACACACACACACACACACACACACACACACACACACACACACACACACTATTCAAAGGAGGAATTTGGCTCCCAGGAGCTAATACAATAGAGTCAGCCCTGCTCTTACAGCAGGTATTCCTGGGACACTGAGGAGGAGGGACTAGGGTGGTGTGGAGGCTTCTCTGTGTGTTGTTATTCAAATTAGACTTTCCTTAGTCACTTTGTGCAGGCAGTAATTTCTCTTCTTCTATTTTGATGAAAGCATCATTTGCATAAGGTAAAATCCACCCTTTCCAGCTGTTCTGTCCTATGACTGCTGATGTTCAGTCATAGTTCTGAAGCTTAACACCCCAATCAAGAGGGCCAGTTTCCATCCTCATGGCTTTCTCTGTGATCTGTAACCTACAGAGGTGGACCACAGGGAAAACAAGAAGCATGAGAAATTATAATAAGGCTCTCCCTAAATCTTCGGATGCTGCCCCTGTTATGCCAGCCCTGGGTTCCTCCTATTCACAGGGAGAACTCAGCCCAGAGACCCAGGCAGCTGCAGCCTGTCCTTCAGCCCTAAACCTGGGAGAAGTATCCTGTACTTCAGAAGTCTCTTGAACAAATGGGGACTTGGAATAAGTTGAGAATTCCCTATGGACCTTGTAACCTTTGGGACACTGGAGGAGGAATGTGGCTTCCTTTCAGGTCAGGAACCCAGGCTCCCTTCCTGGAAGAACAGTGGGGGCATTCCTCTAGACTCTGCCTATGCTGCAGCCTGCCCGCTGCCTGCTAACTGCTCTCCGGAAGACTGACAGCCTGTGCTAGGTTCGTGTCACTCCATTGTAGCTTCTTATTTAAGTTGGCTTCCTGTGCTTTCAAAAAGGCCAGGAAAGCAGAGCCTCACTCTAGCCCATCAATCAGATGGCAATTTCTTTTGTTGCTGTAGGTGTTGGATTTCGGCAGAACCACCTTGAAGAGGTAAGGTGAAAACACAGATGGCAGTTAAAGATCTGCAAAGAATCCCTGGTGTTTGCGTTTGTGGGGGTCTACCTGCATACCACCATCTCAACTTGCAACAGGAGAGTAGGGCAGAGAGTAAGGTCAAATTAGCATTCGAAAGAAGCTAATTGACTGAAGGGAAGACTATTAACCCTTTCTCACCAAAGCTGAAGTGCAACAAACAGAGCCTTGGGATATACAAAAGGGAGGGGAGGGCTTCTATAAAGGTTCCTTCCAATCTCTGAGACTGGACATGGGTACCATTGAGCTCTGCCCTTTCTCCCAGCCATGGCTCACTTCCTCCCCTGAAAGTGCCGTCTTCCTTAATAAACTTGTTCTGCTTCTACCACTGTCTGTGTGTCTCTGTCAAGTTTCTCATTCTGAGACACAAGAACCTGAAAGCCCCAGTGGGTGCTCACTGGGTTCCTGGGTCTTCTAATAACATCAACGCATGTCTTAAAGTGGGAAGACAGGGCTACTGTTAGGACAGTGATAGATAGATAGTGCCTGGGTCTGTGGAAGGTGAGGGCTTGTTCTCAAGGTAACTAAAACCCAAACAAGGTAGAAGGATGAGGATGGACAATGCAAAGCTCCTCTCCGGCTCCTCTCTCTCTTTCCCCCTTTCTCCCCCCCCCCCCAACAAGCTCACCCTGCTCCACCAGCTAAGTGCTTTTGCAACTGAGGCCCCAGAGGCAGACACCAAGGCCATGCAAGTGAGATGAGGCCTCCAAAGAAGGTGTGGACAAGTGGCAAGGTTCCGCCACCAGCCTGTAACTTCCTGTATCACGACAGATGCCCTTCAGGCAGGGGTTTAAAGACGGACACCCCAGACTGTAGTCTGAGTGCACAATTATTACAAGGCCAGCTTTGAATCCCCGTGTTCTCCCTGCATCCCTGCAGCTTTTTGCTCTCTGCCCCGCCCCCCATTTCAAGCAGGCCTGACTTGAGGGAACACATTGTGGCTCTCTGTGTTTTGTAATCACACTTTCCAAACAGGCTGGAAAGGAGTTGGATTCTGTTAGAATATGATGTTAAAAACAATATTTAGTTATTTATGAGTGAAGAAATCAACTGTTTGCTTATGTCTAAACCTGCTGACCAAGAGAAAAGGGAGGAAGAGCCCACTTGAAGCAAAAAGGTGGTGCTGAGACAAGCATTCACTCTGGAAAAGAAAAAAAAAACAGATCTGGGTGTGGGCTGTGTCATTCTATAAAAGTCAGGCAAAGGTCAGAAGATGCTGCTGGGTTCCACCCTCTCAGAGCCTAACCACCATGATGTGTTTTGTGTTCTTTGTAAGTTCAGTTTTTCCGATATTTGCAGTGTCACTACTGGTTAGCCCAAGAACACAAGTAGCATTAGAGATCCTGGCCTTATGGACATCACAGCCACTATTGCTCCCAATGTCACCCACACAGGTGGTCAGAACCTCCTGGACTGAACTAGGCTAGAACCAGTTTCTCCTTCAGTCATCTGAAGTTTCTTGACTCTCTGTGATGTCAGAGGCCACTCTTGCACTGCCATGCATCTGCCTCCATGCTGTTCCCCATTCCAATGTAAACTTTCCTTTATTCTTGTATCTATTATCCCAATGGCTCACAGCCTCATAGTTATCAGCCGTGTACTATGGACCATACACTGCTTCCTCATCTTTTATACCTCATGCAACCATATCGAGGTAGCGCTTCTCAGTCCCATTTTCAAACATTAAAGGGTGCCTTTGGTAACGTAAACCCAAATATCAGACTGGGGTCAAATCAAGGTATATGTGATAGTCCCATTCCATATTAGCTCTGCTGGCTGCTTACAGGACAAACTGCATGCTTTCTCTTTTTAGGGACTTAGAGTCTACTAGCTTCTAATCTCTTTCTGAGCAATTTCCAATCTCAGCATGATCCTGATAAAACACCCGAGAATGGCCTGCAGCACTAACGGTGTTCCCCTTCCCCTGGACTCCTGGCATCTTCTATTTGTACCTGTTTGGGCTCACCTCGATTCTCAGATCACTGGGATTCACGATGAAATCACCACCTGTAGGGGCACAGTAAAGTGCTTTGTTGCACAAGTGCAAGGACCTGAGTTAAGATCCCCCCCAAACCCACATAAAAGCCTGACAACCCAGTCCTGCAACCCAGTCCTAGGGACTAAGAGACCCTGAGAGACTCATCTACCTGAAGACAGTGAGATCCAGATTCAATAACAGGCCGTCTCAGGTAAAAATAAATAAATAAAATAAGGTCAAGAAGCAATTTAGGAAGACATCTCAATGTTGACTTCGAACCTCCAGAAGTACCTACAGGGTTGAATACATATGCACCCAGCCATACCCCCAACACACACACACACACACACACACACACACACACACAAGCACACACACTGCCTTCCCACGGTAACAGCCAAGGTGGACACCAAGAATCTCTGCCCTACATGGATGTCGAAAATTATCTGAGTGTCTTACTTAACTGGTTTTTCTCATGTTTGCCTCATGGAAATTTTCCTACTCCTACATGTAAAATTCAGAAAGCTATGCCTTTCCACCAAAAGTGGACAGTAATGCCTGCCGTTACTAAGATCGATGAAGATTGTTTTATACCAAAGAAATGACGTTGGCACTCAGAAACAATACGATAATTTGAGTGATAGCCCCCTCAGGATAATCTTGAGTTTTACATCTCAGAGAACAGAAGAGGCAATATTGAAGGAAGCACACACAGAAAAACACTCAGCTGGGAAGCTAAAGATGCCTCGGATCTTAAAGTGTCTGAAAACACCGACATGAGGCATCCTGTATAAAGGTGTTACAGCTACACAAATAAAAAATAAATATCTGGATGTACACACATAACATAAACTCCTATATGTAAAATAGCTTCCTTTTGGAGGATATTTAAAGTCAGAGATTGTGCCATGAGCAGATAATAGGGTGCAGGCCAGCCTTTAATACATCTCTTAGAGCTTGCTTTGTTTTTGTGCATAAAATATGTCATAAAAATGAGGGAAGTGGGGGAGAGAAAAGGAAGGACAGGAGACACCCAATAGTTCATTATAATCTGTTTATTTTGCACATGTGACATCATAAGCAAAGGCTTTGCCTGTGTTCTAGCTAAACTCCAATAAATAAATATGTACAAATATGCTGAGCTTACAAACAGCAAAAAAAACTTTCCTTACAAAAGATACACATATGATACATCTGTTCCTTACACTGACATATAAGTTCATTCCTAGCTTAGTTAAACCGAAACCCTTCTGGACCCTGTGTGGCAAAATCTAGAGATGTGTACCTAGTCATTTAGTTAAGCAGTGAAAAATTCCTCAGTTTCTTGATAATAATTGGCCTAACATAGCCTGCTACTTATTATTAACTGACATTTAATGTCCTCCAGAAAGTTGGAAACTTGTTAAAATGCAGCTTCTTGTGAAGGGGGTGGGGTGGTGCACTTAGGATTTTGCAATTCTAGCCAGATCCCAAGGGAGGTCCCAATTCTTGTCAACAGGCTAACGGCCAGGGCTAGAACATGCCTCTGAAGTAGATATTGTCCAAGAGCCTCATTAAGACAAGACCCTAACCAGGCCCCCTCCAGGCCCATTCCCAAGTTCCCATGTCTCCCAAAGCAGCACACTGCTTTTGTTTGGAACTATTAGTGGCAGGAGCAGTTGAAAGTCAGCTAGGCACAAAGCATACAACTCAAAACTTTGCTGGAAGATGCTTCCGTCTGTCAGTCTCAAATATGTCCAGTCTAAGGGCCACATACAACGCAGGATAGTTATGAATGTGGCCCAATTCATCTGAAGATGGCAATGTCCTATTGCAACATCAAAACATAGGACTTAGGACTAAGGCTCATCTCAACATTTTCAACACTGTCAAGAATTAGTAACACTATAGGAACCTGTATAAAAAGCTTAAAAATAATTACCATTTTGTCGTTCTAAATCAAAACAACAGCAACAATAAAAAAAATACCCAGGCTCACCTTTTCAACAATAAAGATGAAAACAAAACAAAACAAAAACCCCAACCTCCTTGAGTTCAATTTCTGTGACATTCCAGCATTATCAACTAGTGTTTAGCTGTGGCATTTTAACTTTCATTAAAATCGTTTTGCCCTGGAAACCTGAATTTTCCAACTAAATTGCCAAAGCCAGTGAAAAAGACAACTTTTGCTTTTAGTGTTTCTTTTCTGTTTCACGTAAGAGTCTTGTCTGGAGAGGAGGATAAAAGCAAAGTAAGACAAAGTTGGGGAAGGAGAAAAGTGAGAAAGGGGGAGGGGGAGGAGGAGGGGAGGAACGAAGGAAACAAAGGGAGAAAAGGCAGGAGGATTGGAGATGTGGAGGCTGGGAAAAACCAAAGGGAAGACATGCAAAATACTTTAAAAAAATAAATATCTGGGTCATCTCTAGCCTGTGTGGTCAAGGTTTGCCTAAAGGCTAAAGATCAGCAGCGCCTGTACATCCTGGACCCTGATGTGAGGGAGGGCCTGGGACACTCTGCAGTCTGATCCTCACTGTGTATTTGTCAACTCTGCCCAGTTGTCCAGAGTATCGACATGGAAGAAATTGGGCTCTCCTGCTTCAAGTCCTCCTCACCCCTGCTTATCATGAGGATGGGACAGGGTTCTCTCCAGTCATCAGTTATTGTGTCAGCCAAGTGGCTTTTAAGTTGCCAGAGAGCACATCTGGGAGGCCAGAGATAGAAAGAAGAGGTACTGATCCAGGAAAGACGAAGGCAACCTGGGTCTCTGGAGCAAAGTCCCTCAGAACTTCTGCAGCGTCCGATCAGTCCTCACCTGCTGCAGAACAACCTCCTTGGCTGGTGATGCGCACTTGTACTCCAGCTCTGCTCGTGCTCCCTGCTTCTTGCGCAGGTGACATAGAAGCACCAAAAGCGCCACCACCAGGGACAGGCTGGCAATGGAGGTGCCAATGAGAACGCCAGAATGCACTGGCTTTGCTGAGGGCGGACCTATGGGAGAGCCTGGCGTTGGACTGACTGGGGGCTCCCCAGAGCCATGGTCCTCGTTGTATTCAATAACAGGACTGGGGTTACAGTCCTTGCTAACCTGGCCAGCAAGGGCTGTGTCAGGCCCACAGTTGCACTCATAGGAGCCGGGAAGATTGCGACACTCACTGCCAGAGCATTCGCCTTGACTGCACTCGTCAATGTCCACGCATATGTGACCTTCATCCAGGATGAAGCCCTCAGGACAATAGCAAAAGTCAGGAGCGTAAGGGTCACAGTCAGCTGGGCATGAGCTTTCATTGCAGAACAATTCACACCTGTGCGGTTCCTCGGGTTTGGGTCTAAAGCCCTCAGCACAGATGCAAATGTACTCGGTGGTGTTCACTGGCTGGCACTGATATTCGCAGTTATTTCCGAAGCACGGATCCAGGCGCTCCACGCACTCTCCATCCACCAACTCAAAGCCATCATAGCAGAGACATGCAAAGCCGCCCTTGGTGTTGACACAGCGCTGGGGGCATGGATTGGGCCCTTGCCTACAATCATCCACATCCTCACACTGGTGTTTGTCAGCCGCCAACCGGTAGCCCGTTGCGCACATACAGGCATACGAGCCGGGTATGTCGGGGTCGGTGATGCAAAAATGTTCGCAGAGGTCAGTGCATGTCTCAGGCTCCTCCGGCACAACGACATCTGTGCAAGAGCGACCATCAGCCAGCAGGTCGGAGTTGCTGGGGCAGAGGCACCTGGGCTCGCCCATGCTCTGGTTGCACAAGTAGTCGCAGCCACCGTTTTCCACTCTGCAGTCCCAGGCTCCTGTCGCTTGCCGAGTCCAATGTCCGTCCCAAGTTTCAGGCCGGGCCTCACACATTAGCTCCAAACCGAGGGACTCCACAATAGCGAAGCTGCCTTCTGGCAGATTCTCAAAGTCCGCACCACGGGCGCCGAAAGGCGTGTGGTAGGTGCTGGAGAAGTGCGCAGCCTCGGGATCTTGGGTATTCACCACCAAAGGTCCGCAGGACACTCTAAAGTGGAACTCACAGAGGAAGCTGTCGGCTTCAGTCTCGCACTGCTGCTCCTCCCAGGCCTGCTCACCCGGGGCTCCTACTGTTGTGGTTGAGACCCTGACGCATAGCGGGCCGCAGAGTGGAGTCGCTTGGTCTTTGGGCCGCACCCACCTGCTGTAGCTGGTGTAGTTGTCGCCAGTAACCCATTGGAAGCCGCCCAGGATCCCGAGATGTTCTGGGTCGTGGCAGCCCTGCGGGAGCCGTAACCCAATCCAGGGGCGTGAGTTCACACTACTGTCGTCGCTCAGCAAAAGGGAGATGACTTCGGCAGCCACTGTGGAGCGCACTGTCATTAGATGTCCTTTCAGGCTCTCGCAGCCAAGGCTGGCAGAGAGGAAGTTCCTGGGGCCCTGGAAAAGCGCAAAGCACTCGTAATGCAGGCACTGACTGCCTCTTGACTGCAACTCGGTTAGTGCGGTGATCCCCAGGCCAGCTGGAACCAACACACCGAGAAGAAGAACCCCAAGCATGCTGCCCAGGGGTTCACGTGTAAGCTCCCAGGAAAACGCTAGCCCTAAGACAGTGCAGGCACCCAGCGCCGGCAGGGGGTTTCGGACGCCTAGGGCGACAGCAGCTAGCCTCTATCACAGCTTAGACGTTTCTAGCCCAGGCTCGTAGTACCGGCGAGTTAGTCTCTGACATGTCACTAGCTGCGACTCCAGTTTATAAATGCGCGGCCCTCCCTCTCTGGACGTTCGGGAAAAGGAAGGAAGTGCTTGGTGGGAAGGGCTGATGCTGCATTCTCGGGTTACTGGGTTCTCCGGACGCCTTGTGCCCGCCCTCCAGCCTGGGATCACCTCTGCGCGATGAGTAAAACTCGGCCAGGGCGCACCGAGGTTCTCGGGCGGGGCCCGAAGGCACCACCAAAGAACAGAACCATATCAGCAAGGCGACAGACAGTTCCCGCCCCGGCAGGACACTCCGGTCCCGGACACTCCGGTGTAGCCCCCCCCACACCTTCCCCATAGATGCTTCCAGACTTTGTAGGATGATCTCGTTGGTGGGCCCTAGAAAGAACAAACTTAGAGTCGGGTAGGGAGTGTGTCTGAAAACTACAGGACACTGGGAGGAATTGGCAAACATCAAGAGGAGAGGACAGACAAGATTGATCCCTTGGAAGACTAGCTAGGTCCAAGACCAGGGACCAGGAAGCCTGGCTGCGGTGACAAAGGGAGGGTTAGGTCCCAGAGGACTTTAAACGGGGTTAGGAAAACAACTCCAGCAGCAAGAGTACTGATCTAATAACCCGACCCCCACCACTCCTCCTCTACATTCTGAAGACTGGCCAGCGATCGCCAGTTCCTGGGCAGGTATCTCCAAGGCCAGGCCCTAGCTATCTGGTTTCGTGAGAAAGTCGTGTGAGCTCTGTATAGGCTTAGAGATCCTGGCCCTCTGCTCCAGTATTATTCCTACAAAACACCTTGGGGGGGGGGGTTGCGTTCCTTTGTTCTGGTGTTTTGTTTTGTTTACTCCAAGCCCCCCCCCCAACAAAACTGATTGGGAGCCGCAGCAAGGAGGTGGTGTGAGCTACAATGGAGCCCACTTGGTTTCTTTTGAGGTGATGATTTCCTGGAGAGGCTCAAAAAATAGAGGTTCCTGCACATTCCATTTGCTCACAAAAGGCATTCAAGAGATTCAAGAGAAGGGGTCCTGAGGGCAAGATGCCGGGTCGCTGGGAGGGGCTTATGGGAGTCTGTCACTTAGCACTTTTATCTACTTAAGCACTCACCAAGAATGTGGAGGGGCTGGGTCAAAATCAAAGCAGAGAGAGAGAGAGAGAGAGAGAGAGAGAGAGAGAGAGAGAGAGAGAGAGAGAGAGAGAGAGAGAGAGAGAGAGAGAGAGACTCTCTCCCCACCCTCTTCGGCTGTCACTTATACCCCACTGCCAGAAGGCGGCGCTGTTGAACTCTAGACTAATCCAAGGATTACAAAACAATTGTCAAGGAAAAGAGAGAATGGGCTGCCTGAGGCCTAGCCTGAGGTTAGGAAGTTCAACTGTGGGAAGCCCCACATAGTCTCCCCTGTTTACATGTATGAATCTAGCTTTGCTGGTTGCGTAGAGCTCAGACTGTGGTGTCCTTTTGCGGGGAAGGGGGAAACATGCACAGATGGGCACATACAAGACCAAGAGGGTAGGGTGAGAGCACCAAGGCTGTGAAAAGAAGCAAGTGGGACATCCTCCGTCTACTTGCCCACATGGAGCTCTGCCAAGACAGAGCTGGGATCTATAGAGTCCTGCATCCCGTTGGCTTAGCTTTTCTTTATTGGATCAAAGCTTCCCCAACTCTCAGTCGTGAAAACTCCAGAGCTGAGAGTGGATACCAAGCTTTTAAGCTCTGGGAATGGGTACAGCTACATGGGTTCTGGGAAAGAGGAAGGAACAGCCAGGGATTGGACAATGGGAATGGCCTCTGGAGGAGGAGGCTTGCTTTTGATGTGAGATGGAACCTCCAGGGGCATTATCCCAAAGTAAACACTAGGTAGAAGACAATAGGATAGCCCACATGCACTGTCTAAGGAGACCTCGTTCAAGCTCTAGTAATTCAGTATTGTGACAGCACAGCATTAAAGGGTGGTAACCCTCCTGAACAGGGACTTCTGAACAAACACCACAGCCAAAAGCAACTTGGGGAGGAAAGGGTTTATTTCATCTTACAGCTGCGAGTCTACCACTCAGAGGAGTTAGGGCAGGGACCTAGAAGTTGCTTACTGGCTTGCTCCTCATGGCTTGCTCAGTTTGCTTCTTCTATCACCTAGGAGCCCAGGAAGTTGCTGCCCACAAAGAGATGGGCCCTCCCATATCAGTCATCAATCAAGGCCAATCTAGTGGGGGAATTTCCCCAACTGAGGTTCCCTCTTCCCAAATGACTCCAGCTTGTGCCACGTTGGCACAGAACTAGCCAACGCAGCAGCCCTGAATGTGACCAAAGGCTGGTTAGGGTCTTGGAGGGATTTTAGCTGATTCACTGCCATCTTTAGGGGATGTTGTATGAGTAAGCTTTTCTCAGGGAGATGCAACACACATGTCTAGTCACCCTAGGTAGGGAACCCATGACAAACCAAAGTACAGATGCCAACCAAGTCTAACTTAGTGAGCCAATGTGTTTTACTGGGTGTAAGAGAAACTGTAGCCAGCCTACCCAAGCCACAGTCTTCCTGCCCCTGGTGCCCAGGCCAGCCTGCATGAGTATGCATGGCAGGCACTTCCTCCCTGATCCAAGCCTGCCTCCATGCCCAGAGACTGCTGACAGAGACACACCTGACCCAGAGACACCAATAAAGAAAGGACAATGGCAGTCTGCAGTGTGCTCTGCTACCCACTGGTTCCCAGTGCCTAGGTCACTGGTGCTGCATCTTCTCACCCCTCCCCCAAAGGGTGTTCGAACAGGGTAACCTGCAACAATTGGGGTTACTTGCAGGAATATGGGTGAGTGGTTATTTAGAAGTGACTCAAAGGCAACTGCACCACCAAAGCCTACTCAGAATACATGCCAGCTCACAAAGCTGTGAACCTAGAGCACACTACAGCCTTCAGACAGCGCAACAGTTTAGAGAGTTTCCTCTCCAAGCTCTTCGGTTGTTCTAAACCTCTTCCAGGCCGCTGGCTTGGTCTACAAGTCTTCTTTGCAGCATGGCTCCACTCTCTGAGAAAGACTCCTGCTTATTCTGACAGGAAGGTACCTAGTAAATTTGGTCAGTTTCAGGGACTTCCTGAAGCTATTTTGAATTGCTTACTTTCCCTGCAGGATGGAATGTTTTAGTCTCAGAGGAAATTGTTAACAACAGTGGGGAGTATGCAAGGTGTAACATCACTGCTGCAAAGTACTGGGAGTTCTATGCAGAGAACTCAGTGATGGCAAGAGTTGTCCAGCTACATATAAAGAGGCACTGGTCCTTCCATATTAGAAACAGAAACCAGAGCAGCAATGTGTGGGAGCTGAGCACCCACCCATGTGGGTACTAGTAGCTTCTATGACATCCTTGCAGAAGACAGATGGATATGGTATTGGGCTCTCCTACGTCGCTCTACCTTGTCCCTAAGCACACCCTCCATTGCCTTCCAAGGTTTCCCTTTCAGCCACTACAGTGCCAAAAGGTCTTCTGCATGCTTTAAACTGCCTCCCACTGATTAAGGTCACCAGACCTCTGTGCTTCGTGGTCCCTAGCTTCCTGTCTGCATTTCCTTCTCATCTCTGCATGTGACACATCCACCTCCCTCTCTTGGTCTGTTATGTGCTCTGCCAACTCCAATGACACATCAACTAAGATATTTACTGCTGAGAGTCTCCTCAAAGGCCATCGTGTCCCACGTACTGACTCAAGAACCAGGTTTCAGTCTTTTCCCTTCCAAATATCCCTGAGCCTTTTTCACTCTTGACCCTTTTTCCATTTTCAGGACTTCTTCAGGGATGTTCAGTACATGTGGTTCTGCCCTCCTATGAGTAACTTCTCTGATCTTCTGGCAGGGTCCTCCAAGGTTACCACTTCATAAGGTTCTTCTTAGAGTCATCATCTATCTCTGAACTTCTCATTCTCCCATTAGGAGACTGCCTAGGGAATAGCCCAGCAGAGTCCTCCAACTCAGTTTTGTTGTGTGTCAGCATTTGAGCTAACCAGTTTGGAACCACCTTTTCATATGCCGTCTTCATCAGTTTCTTGTGCCCTCCATTCTCAAGCATCAGTGCTCCTGACATAATTGATGTTAATATTGAGGCAGCTGGATTCCTGATTCTGTTCCTGACTTTTAACCCTTCCTCCTCCTCTGCTGCTGCCCATGCCACTTGGATCCTTCCTTATATCCACTCAGTGTTACTCACCACAGACTTAGAGAAACCTAAGCTGCTTTCTGCTCCCTTCCTCACTGAAGGTTCTTATCACTGGGCCTCTATTCCAAGGCCACAAATAAGAGGGTTTGCATTTAGGAATGCTGGCATGAGATTTGGAGCCAGAATCTGCATTCCACCTATTCACACAGCTTCAGTGACCAATGCATGTTAAAAGTCCTGGCAGGAGAAGCTTCTAACCAGTGTCAGAGAAATGCTGCATCCGTCACTGGCTTCCTGGGGAGAGTCATGGCTCTCATACCTCTTTGTATCCCTCGCACCTATCATCATGGTTAGTGCAGAGTCAGCACCCAGCAGTGACTGAGCATCTGTACCTTTAGTAATGATGTATGTGCACTTCTCTGTGTCCCTCTGGGTGATTTCTTCAAAGTAACCTGTAAAGTCAAATATGGAGGACCTCAGAGCCTTCGGGGTAATTCAGAGCACAGGTTAGAGCTAACTTGGCTGGACTTGAGTCCTACCCCTATCATTTACAAGATTTTTCTTTTTTAATATTAAGATTTTGAAAGTAACCTCACATTTCTCTGTGGCCCAGTTTCCTCAGCTAGTTGATGTGAATCATAATAGAAAAAGCATTATGAGAACTTAATAGGTTATGTGTGTGAAGCATTTAGTGAAACTGAACTATAATGAACTCTCACATTTTAGCTAAAAAACAATCACACATTTCTCTGGAATTTGAGTTCAGCCACTAATTGCTTCCAGTGCCCAGCATGGTTCTAGTTTCTCACTAGAAAGTCACTATTTACTGGATTAAATTTTATTCAGCCAAGCATTTTGTCAATTATAATAATAAGCAATTGAGGAGCTAAGGAGGCATAGGGAAACAACTGA